TGTGGAGTTGCTTACCTGGTAACTAAGTCGTTCACGGCCTGTCTACTATCCTTCATGGGATTTGTAGAAAGGTCAGTCCTGGCTATCATGAAGCCCCAGAGGAAGAGGTGATTTCTCAGCATACTCTCTGGCCTAAATGCTGACGGTGCATTCTCTGAGGCCCTCTGAGGCCCTATGCATTCTGCTTAAACATTATTTATGTTCAGCAAGAGAACCGTTCCCCATTGTCTGCTTTTTCCAACACACATAAAACTGTACATTTAACTTCTGTTTACATATATATAAACCATATCGTTAGGAGTAGCCTGGGAAATGCTTGGTTGGAGATGAATTTTGCCCTTTGAAAACAGAGGCATGAGTGACAGCTGTATATTGTCTTACCAGAGGCGTGACACACGTGGTTGATTGGGACCAGGTGTTTCACAGAAGCCATTGGAGTGAAACTATAAACTTCTGGTTGACAAGTAAGGTGACAGCCCCGTTCTTTTTAGCAAAGGATTGCTTGTCAATATCTGCCTTCCAGTGTAGGGCTATTGATGAAGAAACTGAAACACTTGGGGTATTCTGCATTGGCACCAGAGATCACTTCCTAAATATAACACCAGTAGCACAGACATTGAGAGAAACAATTAATAAATGGGACCTTTTGAAACTGAGAAGCTTTTGTAGGGCAAAGGACACGGTCAATAAGAAAAAAACGACAGCCTACAGAATGGGAAAAGGTCTTCACCAACCCCATATCTGACAGAGGGCTGATATCCAGAATATATAAAGAACTCAAGAAATTAGACATCAAAATACCCAACAGTACAATTAAAAAATGGGCTATAGAGCTAAACAGAGAATTCTCAACAGGAGAAGCTCAAATGGCTGAAAGACATTTAAGGAATTGTTCAACATCCTTAATCATCAGGGAAATGCAAATCAAAATGACTCTGAGACACCACCTTACACCTGTCAGAATGGCTAAGATCAAAAAACACTGAAGACAGCTCATGTTGGAGAGGATGTAGAGCAAGGGGAACACTCCTACACTGTTGGTGGGAATTCAAACTTGTACAGCCACCTTAAAAATCAGTATGGCGCTTTCTTAGAAAATTGGGCATCAATCTCCCTCAAAACCCAGCTATACTACTCTTGGGCATATACCCAAGGAATGTTCAATCATGCCACAAAGACACATGCTCAATTATATTCATAGCAGCATTATTTGTAATAGCCAGAACCTGGAAACAACCTAGATGCCCTTCAACTGAAGAATAGATAAATAAAATGGTGGTATATATATACAATGGAGTACTACTCAGTGGAGAAAAACAATGACATCATGAAGTTTGCAGGCAAATGGATGGAACTAGAAAATATCATCCTGAGTGAGGTAACCCAGATGCAGAAAGACAAACATGGTATGTACTCACTCTTAAGTGGATACTAGATGTAAAGCAAAGGATAACCAGACTGCAACTCACAACTCCAGGGAGGCTACCTAGAAAAGAGGACCCTAAGAAAGACACAGGGATCACCCAGTGACAGAGAAATGGATGAGATCTACATGAGCAAACTGGGGGTGGGGTTGGGGGGTAATGGAGGGCAAGGGTCGGGGGAAAGCGAGCTTAGGGGAGTGGGAGATCCCAGCTGGATCAGGAACAGAGTAGGAGAACAAGGAAAGAGACACCATGATAAATGAAGACCCCATGGAAATAGGAAGAAGCAGAGTGCTAGAGAGGTCCCCAGGAATCCACAAAGATACCTCCACTATAGACTACTGGCAATGGTCGAGAGAGTGCCTGAGCTGACCTACTCTGGTGATCGGATGGCAGAACACCCTAACTGTCATGATAGAACTGTCATCCAGTGATTGGTGGAAGCAAATGCAGAGATCCATGGCCAAACCCCAGGTGGAGCTCCAGGAGTCCAACTGGCGAGAGAGAGAGGAGGGATTATATGAGCAAGAGATATCGAGACCATGATTGGAAAAAGCACAGGGACAAATAGCCAAACTAGCAGAAACACATGAACTGTGAACCAATAGCTGAGGAGCCACCATGGAACTGGACCAGGCCCTCAGGATAAGTGAGACAGTTGATGAGCCTGAACTGTTTAGGAGGCCCCCAGGCAGTGGGACCAGGACCTGTCCTTGGTGCATGGGCTGGCTTTTTGGAACCTAGGGCCTATGCTGATACACTTTGCACAGCCTTGGTGCAGGGAGGAGGGGACTGGACCTGCCTCAACTGAATCTACCAGGCTGAGCTGACTCCCCAGGGGAGACCTTGCCTTGGAGGAGGTGGGAATAGGGGGTGGGTTGAGGGGGAAGGCTGGGGAGGGGTGGGAGGAGGGAGGACAGGGGAATCCATGGCTGATATGTAAAATTAAATTAATTATAAAATAAAAATATTTATTAAAAAAACTTGGGGTGTTCTGAGTAAGAGGCTAAGGGAGGCTAAAGAGAACAGGCTGTGACAAACTTTGTGGGAAGGTGATGTAGACTTGACCTGTAAGAGCACCCCTCAGTGGGCCAGAGGGTGGGTGAGAGGAAGCAGGTGAAGATTGTGGGTCAAATTTGGTCAAGATCATTTTGCATTTGATTCCTCACTGTTTACTTCAAGGCTGTATCGACACTGGTCATTCCCTAACCGGCCGTGTGTGACTTGGGCAGATCACTCTCTTGGATTTTACTTACATCCAATGTATCCTGAGTCTGAGTCATGAAGTCTTTAGCTCAGCTAGCTCCCTGAATGAAATGGGGTAAATGAAGCGTGTTTAATTTGCTCCCCAAGTTAGCTGTCTATGGGCTAGGTCACCAAACAGGGTTCTTTTCACTGGATTGTTCCTAACAGTGCTAGCCTTCTTGCTACACCACTGTTTCCTTGCCCTCGGTGGATGACTTTGACTACTTCAGCAAGCCCCACGGATTATTGAGACGTAGCTTGTCTGGTATTAACTGAGAATCATCAATTAAGTTGGATTATTCCCTTCAGGCTTATTTGCAGGATGAAGAGAGGGGCTAGAGCACATTTGAGAAAAAACTGAGATGTCCCTTACTTTACTTGGGTATTCGCTTATGAGTACTTTGCCATGTTTTACGGTCCCTTCAAAGGACACAGAAGCGATGCGCACATCTGGGCGTATTGACTTCAGATAATGCTTCACATTGAGGCTCTGAGATAACATTTGCTCTGGGAAGCATTTCTCGGTGCTTGTTGGTAGTTTCCTGGGTCTGAGTTGGCTACATGCTCTGATCTGTTTTTTTCTCTGAGACACACAGCTTGGAACTTGACCACTAACGTCTCTTTTGTTTGCTCTACCAGGCAGCCCTAAACTTGGAAAGAAGACTAGCTTCCTTCTCAGTCCGAAATGGAGATAAAACAATTAACCCCAGTGAGTAAGTGCTTCAGCACGTGCACGTACAGCATCTGATGTTTCTTCCGCCCGAATGAATGGCCTTTTTCTCACACCCAGCACCCTCTGTGGTGTTCTGCCTCCATTGGTGATGAGGCTGAAGTGTGAATGAGTTTTGGTGACTCTTGAACATTCTGATCCTAATGTCTGGGCTTGTTTAGTTTGTTCTGGTTGCTTATAAGGATCAGCAAAAACTTTAAAATGAGGAATTATGACTCAGACAGTTGGTGGTGAAGTCTCCAGGCATTTACACTGTAGTCCATGGCCTCTTGGTAGGAATCTTGTTTTCTTATTTGGGGGGGGGGTGTCTATGATTGAAGCTGGAAACTTTTCTGTGCATTGTGTTTGAGGCCTCCTTGCCTCTTGGGTCTTGTTAGTTTTTTTCCTTTTACATCTCTGACTTCTCTCCACAGTATTTCTGTAGGACATTGGCTGCTGCTGATTATATACATATACATATATATATATATATATATATATATATATGTGTGTGTGTGTGTGTGTGTGTGTGTGTGTGTGTGTGTGGTGTGTGTGTGTGCATGTATATACATATATATATGTATATGAGCAAAACCTAAAGTTTCTGAAAAAATAATGGGAAATTCAAGAAGAGCTTTCAGACGTATTGTTACACTACTCAATAGGAATGGGATGTGCTGGGGTAAGTTTCTAGAAAATAGTCTGGAGTTCAGCTTTGAGGGTGCTGTTGCTTGTGTGTTGGGGTGTGGGGTTGGGGGTGGGGTAGTTCTGGAGCCTTTCTCACAATGGTCCTGTGTGGATGTCACCCAGGCCTGGGGACATATTGTCCTTTCACTAGACCTATCTAGGAAGAACTCTACAAATGTTTTTGCAGCTCTTTTGCACAGATGGAGCTTCACAGTAGCTCCATTTTTATAAAAATGTGTTAAAAATAGGGATGTAGGAGCATGAACCCTACAAACCAAAATAATTGCTTTTGGGACAGGAGAAGACAACAGTTCCCATAAACACTGCATAAAATGTTGTACTGTTATTTTCTAGTAACCTCAATGCAGCAGAGAACGATGGTGTGAATGTGTATGCACACACATGCATGTGTGTTAAGGTGGACATATGCACATGAGAATAATTGCAGGGTTGTATGAGGATTAAATGCAGAATCTGTGAAGCTTAGTCTATACTTACAATGCATAACCAAAATTCCATAATGTGGTTGCCTCATACTGTGCACATATGCTGGCAGGAAGTCAGCCTGGAGTCTTGATCTGTCGTGAGACAGTCCCTCTTGCTCTTTTTCCAAGAGGTATTTGTGGCGTTCTTGTAGTCTCCTATATAAAGTTGTCAATGAGATGACTGGTTCTTTTATTCAACAGTATTCAGCCAGAATGTGCACACATCTACCATTGCCTTTCCTCTGGGTTCATTTACTCAGTTGGCCTTTCTGAGCATGGGCTCCCAGCTTTCCAGGGAAAGCTGAAAAATGCAATCCCTCCATTTCAGCACTACATTTATAATTGGTTGGGAACTACTCAATTAGTAAACAGGGACTTTTGTTCACCTCTTGCATAAAATATGAAGGGAATGATGAGTTTAACAGAGAGACTCTGACACCAAGATTTAAATAAATAAGCTGTATTATCTGTACAAAAAATATAAATACAGTTTCGTGTTTTAGAGGAGGAAGTGCCTCCTTCCACATTATCCAGCAGCCCCAATAATTTGTGGCACTGCTGAGTCGCAATTCACAGAACAAATATTAAATGTACATTCATCTCATGCAAGGAGCACACTGCTTTCCATTCCAAACCTAAGCTCGCCAACTAGTTTGGGAAGGCACTTCCAACCTCACATTCTGACACGTGGCAGAGCTGGAAGATGCCTGCCTTTTAGGAAATTCAAACACTGACCACCAATTTTTAATAGCTACTGAACTAACCAACTGTATTAGTATTACAGAATTTGTGTTTGTTCCATATATAACTAGTGTCACAAACAAATCCACTTTTATTGTCCCCATCCCACATTATCTTTTATAATATACTCTGTACATAGTGAATAATGGATTAGAGTTAAACACCAGTTTTGTTTCTTTTAAGATTAGAAAGAATACAATTATCACCACAGAGTTTTTAGGAACACAGCTGCAGGAAGTTAATAAAAATCCCCAGAAGAGTTTTTTTTTCTGGATGACAATGTACAATTACTAATATTGCACTTTTTGTACAAGAAATCCTAATAAATATTCACAAAAGATACACATAGAAACACTCTTTTATTTTAAATAAACATTACACTGATTTTTAGTAACACAATTTCTTAGAGCCTATTTTTGTAATGAGGAAGAAGCCCACCCTAACTGTCCACAGCACACCTAGGGAAGACACAGATAATGAACACCATCTTCCAAACCTAACTTCTGGGATGGCTCGGAAATGCAGCCCTGATGTCGGTGGTGGCCCTGGGGCGATAGCATTTGGCGAGTATGTATGGGAGGGGTGGTTCATCTGATGAGTACTGGGCTCTGGCTGCTCAGGGGAGGAAGTAAATATTAGTGTTGAAGCTTTCTCTGCTGAATGAGGATTTGCCAAGGGCTTCCGTTTTAGCCTTATCCATAGCTAATGTGTGTTGCTGAATCGTGTGTGCTGCTTGGCCTGCTGAGTGGGCCATTCACTCAGTCTGGTGGATAGCATTTGTGTCAGGAGGGTGGTTGGAAAGCTTTTGAGGACTGTCTTGTGAGTTTTTAGCTATCCTTTTGCTTTGCTATAGCACTCTATTACCCCCACCTCTACCCCCAGCTTTCTGTGTAAATAGGACACACAGCAGCTCTTCTGTTGTAGAGGAACGGCCCATAGGCCCAATGTGTGATGGCTGGGATAAGTAAAGCACTCTGTCCTATTCTGTTCCCTGGCCAACTCTAGTGGGAAGGGTTGTTACACCTATAGATGTTTGCCAGCCAACAGATTGCTTAATGAGTCCTTTGTGAGCAATGATTCTAGTCCCTGGCCTAACATGGAGCAGCAAAGTCACTGAGGTGGAAAACGTGGAGTACTCAGGCTCAGATGCCCATGGCCCACAGCAGCAGTTAGTTGGGGGATAGCAACCCTTGATTTAAAATACAGAGATGTTGGAGCCAGCCTTACTACACAGCCAGACCCTGACCCCCTTGTTGTGTAACAAAGGTTACTTGATAGGGTAGGGAGCAGAGGCACTTCCAAACCACATGAAGAGCACACCTTCTATCACGCAGCATGGGTACCCTGAGAAGATGCTCAATATCCCTCCCACTTCTGCTGAACCTATAGGAGTGTGCATGTACCAAGGCACAGGCCTGTCAGAGGAGTTTCCTGTGGCTGCTTGAACATCTGTTCTGCCTGCTAGCTCCTCCCACTTCTTCCCTGCCTCTGTCTCTTGTATAACTGTATGCCTTCTGTCTAGTTTGCTTGTCTCCTTTGTAACGTCTGTCCACGGTTGAGTTCTCTTCTTTCTTGGTTCCCCAGAAGAACTGGATTTCTGACCTGGTTTCTGCTCCAGTATGGTGTTCCCCTTGTTCTTACCATCATACCACCCAGGAAACAAAGGAATGACAGTCCTGGTTGGCCTGTGCCTGTACCTGTGTGTTATAAACCCCAGCTCCCTGCTGTCCCTATGCACTATGGCTTTCTCTTCCTGTGTCTCTGAGACTCTGATTGGGAAGGAGCCAGCTCTACAAGGGAGCTGCTGTCTGCCTGGCCTGCTCTGCAACCCCCTTTAGACAGCTCTTTTTCTGTTCTCAACGCTTGTTCCAGCTAACTGAATAAGAAAATATGCCAAGGTCCTTAGGAGCACGGGTGCAGGTGGACATGGGTGTGTGGGGAGGGGCAAATAAATAAATAGAAGGAAGAAAGCGTAAGTCATGTTCAAGGGTGGCTGGATGAGTCCTTGGTGTGGCCAGGGCAGAGTTCATCCCTGTTCCCTGTCTTCAAGCCTTGCCACATGTTCCACAGCAGCGAGATCGGAACTGGCCGAGCTGGCAGAGTTTCAACTGCCTCACCTTCTCGCAGTACCTGGTGGTGTCTCTGCACTCAGCTGGGAAAGCGGGAGGGAGGAGGGGGACAGAAAGGAGATGTGAAACAGAGGCTCATGGATGCAGCTGCTGCTGAGCAGCCTAGCTACTTGGCAAGATGCCTGTGGGGTCTGCCTTGCCCATGGTTCTTCAGCCCCTTTGGACAGCTTTCCCTGTGGCAGAGCTCAGCCCTTTGCCACCTGCCGTTCCCTTCCCCACCAGCCTGCAAGTTGTCTGGTGGATTGATGGGGCCGATCTCAGGGCCACCTTTGCTTCCGATAGCCACTTCTACTTCAGAGTGGCAATTCTCACCCCCTCCTTTTGGGACAACCTCACTTCCTTGCTCGCTGTTTTCCCCATTGGCTTTTGGTATTTTCGTGAGATATGGTTCCCAGAAGGACAGAATCCTGTTCCCTGTGAAAGAGCATACATGCAAGGGCCTGGCTGAAGGTCTCTATCTTCGGGTGCGTGGACCTCACTTTCCCTGTTCGGCTTTCTTTTCTTCACCCAGGCCTCTCGTGCTTCAGCTCATCGGGCCTTCCTGACATTCCAATTCTTAAACACTGGTGCAGCCTGTACCCGGTAAACTTTTTAACTCCTTGTACCACACACTGGCACTTTCTGAATATGACAACCATCTGACAGGAGCATCAGATGTAAACATCACCAGAGTAAAACGATCATACATCTGCCAGTGGGTCAAACGGGATGGGCTATCTGCCACTTTGTGGGGAACCGATTGCTCAGTGAAGATCGTTGAGGGGGAATATTGGACTCTTATATTTTTTTTTCTAATTGTCTAGTCTTTGTAAAGATTTATCATCACCTTTTGTGAGGAATTATCTCCAATTTAGGTTTGGGGCCCTAAGGAGGAGAGACTAGATCCCTATCCGGTTAGAATACAGATACTGGTTTGGGGCTGAGAGGCTCCAGACCCGAGTGGGGAGGGGATAGAAAGACTGTCGGAACCCAGGGGCACGGTCTCCCGTTCCATTCCAGTGGATGCACGTGGGCCGGGAAGGAAGGGGGGTCAGCAGGTCCTTGTTTGGTGTGAAGTAGAACAATGATGGGTACAGGGCTGGCTGAGCAGCAGGCACTCTGCATGCTTCTTCAGTGCTACCAGTGTTCTGTCTTTAGTAGCCTGGTCCTTGTGAACCATTGTTTGTCTTCCCCTGTGGGCACCAGCCAGGTTGACTGCAGATGAGGTGGAGGGCAATTTTATCCAGCCCTTGGCTCTCTCTGAGCTCAGGAGGAAGACAGTGGAAGCCCCTGGGACACATCCTGGCATCTTTTGTGGTCTGAACATGTGTACACACATCCTTGCACACACCCACTTAAAATGTTCAATTCTGGCCCCAGCTCACAATCCTTAGGGAACTTGATCCAATGCCCCGTGTTCAGGCTCAGTCCTGGGGATTGCCCTCTGTACCCGATGACCTGTGGGGAATTTGCAGAATGTTCTTTGGGATTGGAACGTACTGTTTTCACATGGAGTGATGTTACAGCGTTGCCAGTTGGCGGGCCGGGGCCCCCAGGAACACAGGTGCTCGGGCACAGCCTTGTTGGTGCGGGCGTGAACACACTCCACCCGTCGGGACTGGAAACCATAGTTGCCACAGGTCGCTGTGCACAGGGTCCATAGGCTGACCCTCCAGTGTACACTGCAGGCCTCTGACCAGCAGTTTTGGGTGCTCACAGGCCTGCAGGAGGAGGGGGGCAGAGTTAAGATCTATCTCTGTGGGAACTAGATTTGGAAACTACAGACCCAGAGATGCAGGTAAGTTGGGGTCTTGATCTCTGCTTGTTAGTGGATGAATGAGCATAGGCCTTAAGGAGGCCACTATCTGTTGTGGAATATTCCTTTATACTGTGTGTCATTGTGATTGGTTTAATAAAGAGCTGAGGGCCATTAGCTAGGCAGGAAGAGGTTAGGCAGAACTTCTGAGGACAGAGAGCTCTGGGAAGAAGAAGGGCAGAGTCGCCAGACAGAGAGAAAGCTGGATGAGGAGTACACAGTAAAGGTAACTGAGCCACATAAAAGAATGTAGATTTAAAAATATGGGTTAATTGAAGTTACAAGAACTAGTTAGAAATAAGCCTAAGCTAAGGCTGAGCTTTTATAATTAATAAGTCTCCATGTCGTTTTTTGTGAGCTGGCAGCCCAAAGAAAAATCTATTTACATCCATCTGCTCTTCTCTACACTCCTTCCTGATCCAAGAACAAGCTCTACTCAGCATGGAGACTAGCAAAGGTGGAGCTTAGAGTCTGGTCTTGAGCTCAAGAGGTAGAGGTGAGAAGCCATTTTCCTAGGGGTCATCTGCGAGGGGATATACTAGGGGCTAGGAGTAGATAGGCACAAGTTGAGACCCAGGGACAAAAGGCTTCATATTGGCTTAACTTCTAGAGAGAGGCCAGCAAGATGAACCTGTGAATCTCTTGTGGTCTGGTGGCCAAGGTGTAGGTGCCTCTTGCTCACCTAGAGATTGGGGTGGAATCAGACCTCCCTTATGAACAACACTTACGTGCTTCATCCATGAGAGAAGAAAGCTTAACCTGGCTCATTCAACAAACACAGTACTGTGTGCAAGAGGCTAAGGACTTAGGGTAAGATGGAGGAGGGCAGGACAGCTGACCCCTTGTGGAAGATTGGAGTAACAACAACATTCTTCATCATTTTTGTGCTGTTGATATTGGGGCTGGGTAGAGGATGACAAGAGCTTTGTCTTACCTGGGGAGAGCACTGCACTGCTCTGATGGTAAGGTGATGCCATCCCGGGTCTGGCAAAAGACTTGTCTGTGTTGCACGGCAAGGCGAGGGCCTATGCAAGGCCCGTTGCACTGGGAGGGAAGAAGGAGATACATAGCATGTTATCCATGACCAAGGTGGAAGCTGCAATGCTCAGGCTACTCGAGGCAGGAGCGTTGAGTGGGATCTCATTAGACCTGTAGATCTTCTTTCCCTTCTTTGTTGACCAAATAACAGGCACTCACTGGCATGTGCTTTATGCCACAATGGGGTAGTTAACTGTCCTATAGTCTGTGGGCATTTTGCTAGCAAATGACCAGGGGGAAGTGTAGCTTAGATCAGAGAAGACTGGCCTGGATTAACCCATGAAACTATTTTGTCATGTGTTGGAGTGTAGTGATAAGCTCCAGAGATGAAGACCTCTCAATACCATATCTGATAAAATTGACCATTTTAATTACTTAAAAATAACTCTTCTGTAAATTACAGTGCATGCAGGACAATGTGAGTAAAACAAAATATTCTGTGGTGAGATATCCTGAGAAAATGAATATAGCACAGGTGTGACCTGCTGCACGGGGCTACTCCCACCTTAGAAGGGCCCTGCTCTTGGCTTAACATGCTGCTGACAATTTTGGCATCTATTACTGTTTTTGGTTAAGAGACTCTGCAAGTTATGTGCCCCAGCTGTATATGGGCAAAGGAAAAGCGAACAAATAACATGCACCAAATCACTCAGCAGCCTGCTTCCACCCGCTCCTCCTCTCCAGACATAGCTGATGCAGGATAAAAGTTTACTGTTCGTCTGTTTTTGATGCTTAGTAGCTTTGTAATTGCTACAGCACTTGGTGTGCGCCGCTTCCTGCTTCCCACCTTGCAGCTTTGGTGGGCATGTGTGTGCATGGTATGTACATGTCCAGATTTAAGAGGCATTGTCCACTTAGGGTCACCAGTGCTTCTGCCTATTTCTTCTCCAGCCACTGGTAGATGGGGTTTCTATCTGGTTTAAGTCTCAGGAAGTTCTTGGATGGTTATATAGTTTGAACATTAAGCATTCTACTAAATACGTACTTGTACCTCATCTTGGCTTGACTTGTATCCGCTGTCTACTAAAAATATTTAATATATTTTTATTGGATAACTTTTCACTTGGATAAAGTCTTCCCCACTTTTTCTACCTTATTCCTTTAGTGTCAGTTATTTTATATGTTTCTTGTGTGTTTTAGACATGTCCCTTGCTTGGCTAGGGGTTTTAATTGTTTTCTCTCACGAATTTTACCCTACTCAAATGATGTCTTCTCATGAAGACCAGGCTTTGATTTAGTTCAATTTATTAACAACAATCATGTTTAGTGTTGATTGTATGTTAATTATTCTGTTTTATATAATTAGTCTGTCACACATATATGGTCACTTGTTGCTTAATGATGGAGACACATTTGAGTTTTTTTTTTTTTTTGGTTAGTGATGCCACTATTATGCAAATATCATACAGTGCACTTAAACCAAGAAAGCTATGACATCATCAGGTGATACAATATTTTTAAAATTTATTTATTCTTCTTTCATACCAACCAAAGTTTCCCCTCCCTCCATTCCTCCCAGCACCCCCCAAACTCTCATCTCCTCTCTCCCCTAGATCCAGGCCTCCCAGGGATATCAAAGAAACATGACATAACAAGATACAGTAGGACTAGGCACATAACCTCATATGAAGGCTGGATGAGGCAACCTGGAAGAAGAAAAAGGGTCCCAAAATCAGGCAGGAGAGTCAGAGACAACCCCCACTCCTACTGTTAGAAGTCCCATAAGAACACCAAGCCACACAACCATAATACACATACAGAGAACCTAGCTCAGACCTATTCAGGCTCCGGGATTGTTACTTCAGTCTCTGTGAGCCCCTATGAGCCCTGCTTACTGGTCTGTAAGCTCTGTTCCTATGGTCCCTTGACCCCTCTGGCTCCTACAATCCTTCCTCCTCCTCTTGCCAGTGATTCTGTCAGCTTCACTTAATGTTTGACTGTGGATCTCTGCATCTGAAGCCTCTCTGATGATGATTGGAGTAGTCTCCAGTTTTATGAGTATAGCCAAATATTATTAGGACTCATTTCACTGAATTTTTTTTTTTTTTTTGGCCTGTTGTGCTCCATTCTATCCTAGGTCTCTGGGCTATCCAGCCTCTGATTCTTGGCCATCCAGGCAGTGTGAGGCATGGGTCTCAAGTTGGACCAGTCATTGGTTAGCCACTCCCACAAGTTCTGGGCCACCATTATCCCAGCACATCTTGCAGGCAGAACAAATTGTAGGTAAAAGATTTTGTGGCTGGGTTGATGTCCTAGTCCCACCACTGCCTGGTTATAGAAGATGGCCAGTTCAGGCTCCATATCCCCCACGACTAGGAGTCTTCACAAGGTCATCATCAGATTCCAAGGAATCTCCATTGCACTAGGTTTCCACATTGCTCCCCAAGTGCCCCCCCCAATTCCAGTCATCTCTGCCAATACTCTCTTCCCTATACCTCCCACTCCTATCTGATCTCTCCTGTTCCCACATGCCCCCAATCCACCCACAAAATCTATTTCCCCTTCCAAGGGAGATCCATGTATCCCACCTTGAGTCCTTCTTGTTCCTTGGCCTCTTTGGGTCTGTGGATTGTAGCATGATTATCCTTTATTTAACAGCTAATATCCACTTGTGAGTATATACCATGTTTGTCTTTCTGGATTTGGGTTACCTCAATCAGAATGATTTTTTTTTCTAGTTCCATCCATTTGCTTGCAAATTTCATGATGTCATTGTTTTTAACAGCTGAGGAATAATAATACTTCATTATGTAAATATCAGTTCTACAGTTGAGGGACATCTAGGTTGTTTCTAGTTTCTGGCTATTATGAATAAAGCTGCTATGAACACAGTTGAGCAAGTGTCCTTGTGGTAGAATGGAGTGTCTCTTGGGTATATGACCAGGAATGGTATAGCTGGTTCTTGAGGTAGATTGATTCCATTTTTCCAAAGTAGCTATATAAGTTTGCACTCTCATCAGCAATGGAGAAGTGCTCCCCTTGCTCCATATCCTTGCCAGATGAGATGTTATTTGTGTTTTTAATCTTAGCCATTCTGACAGATGTAAATGGAATCTCAGAGTTGTTCTGATTTTGGATTTCCCTGATGGCTAAGGATGTTGAACATTTCTTTAGGTGTTTCTCTGCTTTTTGAGATTCTTCTGTCAAGAATTCTCTGTTTAGGTCTATACCCCATTTTTTAATTGGATTATTTGGTTTGAAGTCTATTTTGTTAGAATGGCTACACTAGCTTGCTTCTTAAGTCCATTTGCTTTGAAAGTCTTTTTCCAATCCTTTTCTCTGAGGTAATGTCTATCTTTGATGTTGAGGTGTGTTTGTTGTATGCAGCAGGAGGACAGATCCTGCTTTTGCATCCATCCTGTTAGTCTGTATCTTTTTATTGGGGAATTGTGTCCATTGATAATTGAGACATTAATGATCTGTGATTGTCAATTCCTGTTATTTTGTTATTGGTAATGTGTGTGTGTTTCCCTTCTTTCAGTTTTGGTGGTGTGAGATTATTTCCCATGGTTTCATAGATTAATCTCCTTGGGTTGGAGTTTTCTTTCTAGAGTCTTCTGTAGGGCTGGATTTGTAGATTGATATTGTTGAATTTGACTTTATCATAGAAAAACTTGTTTTCTCCATCTATGGTGATTGAAAGTTTTGCTGGGTATAGTAGTTTGAGCTACCATCTGTGGTCTCAGAGTCTAAAGGACATCTGTCCAAGCCCTTCTGGATTTTACAGTCTCAATTGAGAAGTCAGGTGTAATTCTAATAGGTCTACCTTTATAATGTTATTTGGCACTTTTCCCTTGCAGATTTTAATATTCTATCTTTGTTCTGTATGGTGTTTTGATTATTAAACGGTGAGGGGACTTTCTTTTCTGGTCCAATCTTTTTGGTGTTCTGTATGCTTCTTGGACCTTTATAGGCATCTCCTTCAGTTGAGGAAAATTTTCTTCTCTAATCTTGTTGAAAATATTTTTTGGCATTTGAACTGAGATTCTTCTCTTCTATTCCTATTATTCTTAAGTTTGGTCTTAGTGTCCCAGATTTTCTGGATGTTTTGTGTCAGGACTTCTGGTGGCTAGTGTGGCCTTTGGTTGAGCAAGGGGTCCTCGCCCAAGTTGGGGTCTGTTCTTCTGGCTGGCATGGCCTGCAACTGAGCAGTGGATAGGTTGGGGGCAGGGGTGATCAGTGGGGCAGGAAGTGGTGGCAGTGATTTGGGTGTTTGGGATCTGAACCAAAAGAGTGGGAGAGTTCCTTGGGGGGGCTGTTGGCTTATGTGTATGTGAGTGTGCTTGTGTATTCACCATGTCCATTCAGGAGGCCAACGAGCTTCCTGGAGCTGAAACTATAGATGTTTGTGAGTCACCATATATAGGTGCTGGGTGCTGGCACAAATGAACACTCCCAACAAGGAACCATCTGTCCAACCCAGGTGATGTAATCTTATGGGATCACTATTGTATGTTATGGTTAGTCATTGGTTGGGGTATCATTGACACATGGCAATGCTGTTTTAGTATACACAGCAGAACTGTTATTCTTGGGGCATGCAGTAATTGTTTTCATTTTTTGTTATTAATTCTTTGTCAATTTCATATATGTCCATAGTAAATTCTTGTCACATTCCTCCCTCCACCTTCTCCTTTGTTTTTTTCTTTTTAAATGTTTGAGGAACTGACATTGTTGTCCACAGTAGCTAAACCATATTTAATTTTCTATGGGTAACACACTTGGAATTCAATTTTTCATCATTACTAAACTTTTTTCTCCTGGTGCAGAGGATCAATTACAGGCCTTGTGTATGCTAGGTGAGTGCTCTACCACTGAGCTTTTGTCCCAGCCAACACCAAACCTTTTATTTTATTCAATAATAATCATCCTAATGAGTATAAAATGGTAATACATTGTGGGATTTCTTTTTTTTCTTTTTTCTTTTTTTTTTTGAGAAAGCATTTTTCTATGTAGCTCAGTTTGGCCTTAAACCTTTGACAAATATTTACCCAATATAATGACTATTCAAACCTTGCCCAAGGAAAGTTTTTTTTTTCTTAAGCCATTATGGATTTGTTCACCTCTGATCAGAGTTATGATTTCAAGTATGTTCTCTTATGCCACAGGCTGCCTTTTCACTCAATAGTATCCTGTTGATGTACAAAACCCTTAGTGTTGAGTGTTTTTGTTGTCTGGTATGGGCTGGATAGATTTTGTGAGTTGATATGTTTGAAATTTAACTCCTAGTTTTATATGTTGATGGTATTTGGAGGAGGGGAGCGGCACTGTGGGTGATAGTTAAGGTTGGGTGAGGTGTTCAGGGTGGTGCCTCCCTGATGAGGTGAGTGGCTTTGTACAACTTGTGCTTGCATGCCATGTGGTACCCAACATGGCAGAAAGGCTTTTACCATATAGGCACCACCCCTTGATAACAAACTTCACAGTTTCCGGGGATGTAAGGAATAATTTTCTTTTTTTGGTGCCTGTCCTGGATCTCATGCTGTAGACCAGGCTGGCCTCTAACTTACAGAGATCCACCTGCCTCCCAAGTGAATAATTTTCTTTATAAATTATCTATATGTGGAATTTTGTTATGGCAACACAAATTAACTAAGTGTCATATCTAAGGAATTATTGCCAAGCCCAATGTCATGAATGGTTCCTCTTGGTTTTCTTCTAAGAATTTTATTTTTAAATAAAATTTATATGGTGTAAGGGACCAGCTTCATTTTTTGGCATTACCCAACATCATATGTTGAAAAACTATTCTTTCCCTACTGAAATGGTCTTGGTACTCTGTCAGCATCACTTGTCATACATGTGAGGGTTTATTGTTGGGCTTTAGAGAAAGCTCTCAAGCAAACATGTATGACATTGCATATTGAACAGGAATGTGTAGATAGCTAATTCCAACAAGTTCACATTTCCCAATTGCCTAGAATTATGCCTGGCCAGTCAGAAAGATCACTCTGCCAATTAGTGCCAGTCCCAGACAAACCAACAATAGGTGCTGATGCTGTTCCTGTTGTCGGGCACCACCTGCACTTAAGTCTGCCGGTATCTCTGGGACACATGGTAGATCCCCAATGTTTTCTGAACATAGATTTTGGGTTTAAACAGTATATATGCAATGACATTATTTCCTATAAGCACTTATACACACCTGATTCTTGTGTGTGTGAACAACAATGTAAAATTGTAGAGGGAGGCTGCAGGCCATTTGGTGAATTATGTGTACAAGTAGGGAGACTGATCTTAATATCCAACAGGCCCTAGGACAGAGGTTCTGACAGGTGCACAGTCTCACCTGGTCCAGGCATGAGAATATAACCATGACAACACTCCTCTTGACTTCCTTTCACCTCTAAAATCTTCTGTTTGTGGTAGTCTCCTTTTAAAATCACAACAAAACATAATCCTTCTCCTCAGTGGATGAAATAAATACGGTACCTCCATTATATCCAAAGGAGGCTCCATCCTGAGGCTTCTGGCCAAATGAGGACTGCTGTTGCTCTGTTGAGCTCATGATGGCTAACATTAGGTTTTAAGTTTAAATTACTGTGCTTAAGAGATCTATAAGACAAAAATGCCTCTAACCTATAAGCCTCACATGCCCAAGGACAAATAGCTTCCCAGAATGCTAGGGGTTATTCTTATAATTGCCTGGTCTTGTACAATTTTAATGAAGCTGTTGTTCATGTAATATAACAAACCATATGTTTTTGCTTCTTTAAACAACCTTGCTTGCCCATGATTGTCCATAGATGGGATGTGTGCTGGTTACATGTAGGCAGGAAGTACACTGATAGCACAGAGGAAGTAAGGGTGTAGCCTTGTGAGTTTTGCCTTTATAAGCTCCGGACTAATGTAATTCAGTGCTATGCCTTGGGAATCCCAAATATGTAGACTTGGCACCAGTATCTGAGTAAAGCCTCATGGTCAGAATGGTGAATCTCTGAAGGACCCCAGACACCTAATAATCTCCCTGGGACTTTTCATGTTAACCTCCAGGCAGAGAACTGAGATTTCAAGGTGGTCCAGCTAGGCTTCACCTTTTCTTGGCACGGACCAATGGTTTTCAGTTTTAAAAACCTGCTTGGCTCCCACTACAGTGAAGTTGACTCTCACCTTTGGGAGCTACAGCCTGGTCATCGTAGTTTTAAAAGTTTCGCCAGTGAATTTTTTGTTCTGTGGAACTGGCCCACAGCAACAGTGCATTCTCCAGGAGGTTCTCCTCTGAAGTTCCCAGAACCATCCCTAGCACAGTTACAGGAAGTTGTCTTGGGGTCACAGAATGAAAGACAGTGGATCAGAAGAGTGTGCTAATTCCTCAGAATACCCTACACTTGTTAGGTTAGGGGATGCAGGATTGACGCTGGGTGGGGATAGTGAGAAGTGGGAACGAGAGAGAAGGATGGCATTCCTCTTCCTACTGTGGCAAGGTTTGTATCTGCAGATTTGCCCTCAAAACCCAAACCCAAAACAACCAAACAGAACCCCTTTGGCTCCTTACCTGGCCCCAGCTGGAGAAAGCCCATTCCACACACAGCTGTTGGTTACAGGCTTGGGTGTCCACAGGCCGTTTGGCCAGTTGGGTGCACATGTCGTTGGACACTGGGGTAGAGATCCCAGAAGCTTTCAACTTCTGACAGGTCACTCGCCGGGTCTGGACACCTCCACCACAGCTCCGGGTACAGGCAGACCAGGAAGTTACCATCCACCTGAGGAGGAGGAGGACATGAGGGCAATTGCAGAGGGTAAGGCCTGGGGGAAATGAACCTTGCTTGTCCCTCTCAACACACACAGATGTTGACCTGAGGGCCATTTCCCCAAGATTTACTCAGAAAAATGTAAAAACGTCCACACAGCGTCACTGGAGCCTGTGAATGCTAACTTGCTTGTACATGAGGGCTCTTTGTTGCTTGTTTGTGAGACAGGGTCTCATTATGTAACACAGCTTGGCTTTGGACTTGTGATGCTCCTGACTTGCATGCTGGAGTTACAGGCATGCACATAGTTAGGATTTGGAGATGAGATTATTTGAGTAGATCCTACATGCCCTTATCAGAGGGAAATGCAAATGGGGAGAGGTGGCAGTATGACCAGGGGACAGAAGCTGCAGTTTTGTGCAGCCACAAACCAGGGACTTTTAGAGGTACTGGAATATGGGAGTGACAAGGAGCAAATTCACCCCTAGAGTCTTTACAAAAGGCACATGGCCCTGTGGATGCCTGATCTTCAAAATGGAGTTTTATGATGCCATTTGGACAGATTTTTCTTGCAGCCCAGGAAATTGATAAAATTGGGACATGGACAAGGAAAGACTCTATTGAGGGTTGGTTGCTTTAAGCTGCCCCACACTAGTGAAACTGTGGCTAGAATACTATTAGTTAGTAACACACTTTAATACGTCAGGGCAGGACATATTCCTAGGGAAGTCAGATCCAAACATGTTACCTCTTGACCTAGGAGATAATCTGTGTTTCACCGAGGTCAAGATTTTTTTCTGGAGCCTTGCTCCATCTTTCAGAAACAGTCAAAGATCATTCTAGATTTCTAGGGTAATTCCTACCATTAGTAAGTCAGTGTAGAAGTCATATATCTTGGAGGCTTACATGTGTAGTATGAATATCCATTCTCAGAATGTGAGGATTCAACTATAATTTAAGTCCCTAGAAGTAAAACTGACCAAGACTATGAGAAATGGGCTTTTCTCATAAAGCCATTCTATAATCTGGGGACATCGTGAAGTCCTTAGTCCATAGTGTATATGTAATCATGCAGGAGTCCTCTTTGGCATGTGTGCACATACAGATCATTCTCACAGAGTAGAACAGTTAAGAGGCATGGTACTTTCTAGCCAGTTTTATAGACTCTAGGAGCACCCCACCAGTTGTGATACCTGGAGTCTGGGAATAGAACTGTGATATAGATGAACAGCTAGCTACCTGGATTAGAGCAGACTTTGGAAGATAGTCATAGCAATGCTTATGTTCATACATCAGAGAATGCTAACGTGGTCCTCAAGCCCGACTGGCATTCTAGTCAAATGGAAGCCTATGGGGCTTCCTTGGCAAGTGGGGCCACATTTGATTTTCAAAAGAAGTGTATGGAGAGAAGGGGAATAGGTTCCTACTTCCATCAGGATCCTCAACTGACTTAGTTTGTGACAATCTCTCTACTCCTTGGCCTGGGGAGGATGACTTTATGTGGCTTTCTAGGCCAAGGAAACACCGTATTTAGGAAGCAGGCACAAGGTGTTTTAAAGCCACTGGAAGCATTGAAACCTAAGACGAGACAGCCATTACTGTTTCAGTTGCTGAAGTAAATTAGGCTGATTGACTCTGACCATCACCAAATCAAATCACAGAGTTCCTGGCACATAAAAGATCTCTTCTTCATTTCATGCAACTTGGCAAGGGCAGTCTTCCAGATCCTTCTGTCCCTGGTGAATGTCAGGCGTGCATTTCAATCAACTTTGATTTCTAAATATACATTTCAGTGATGTTTTCAGGAGCTGGGGTGGGGGTTTTGAGAAAGGAGAGCTATGGGCTATGTTACTGTTCAGGAAGGGTATAAAAGGACATTAATCATTCCCGTGGAAACCTTCCCGTCAGCAAGTCAAACTGCTGATATTAATGAGTGTGTTTCATATTTCATGGAGTCTCTCCTAGTCTCAGCTGCTCCCTGTGACTCAGCTGGCAAAACACAAAGCAGTTGCCTGAGCAGTATAGCAAAGTTCTACAGATAGGTCATGAAGGGCCATTTCAGGTCCTAGCCAAGTCTCCCGGGTTGCAGAGCGCCATGCTGGTGCCAACTCCAACTTCATCCATTATCCGTTAGTTACCGCCTAAAGACTTGGGGATATGAGCTCAGTGGGACTCAGTGCTTCTTGAAGCCAGACTTACATGAGAGAAGGAGATGGTGGGTGTCATTGTAGCCTAAATACAAATCTCAAGTGCAGTGCAGGACCACATCTAGAGTTAGAGCAGCTATAGGAAAAAGGAGATGCATTCCAACATTTGTGAGATGCAACTGTTTGTAAAAAGGTAAGTTTTCCTTAACTGGAGCACTAACTAGCAGAGGTATTTAGTTAGACAGAAAGGGAAAAGTTCGAGTTAAGCCCAGGAGTCCTTGTCTCCTCAACATTTTCATAGGAAATACGTTTCAAACAACTCAGAAAGGCAGGCTATTATTACAGAATGGGATTCACCTCTGGCCCCACCCGGGGACATACTTCTTTACTGAGCAGACTCTCAGGACTTGAAAGCCTAGGTAGCTTTGACTGGCTGAATAGTGAGGGAATAAGTAGGCCTGAGAGCAGAGGCCTACTCTGAGGACAGGCACAGCTCCTTGAATTCCATCTTTTTCTGCATGGTGCTAGACAATAGTCGGGGGCAGCGGTTGTGGGTGGGAAGGGTACACTTACCGAGAAGGACAGTCTCTGCGGTTGCAGGCAACAGGCTGAACGGCAGGCCGAGGCTTTCCCGCACAGTGCTCAGGGTCAACCTCGGTGTTGTTCAGCAAACACCTGAGGCGGGGCTGATGAACCCCTCTATTACCACAAGATGCTGAGCAGGTGGCCAGTCTGTCCACAGACCACCAGTAATCTGTCACAGGAGGAGGATCAGAGGGCAAGAGGAAATGGTTATTACCCACACTTCTCCTCCTGGCCACGGGGGGTGGGATAGATGAGTGAGCAGAGAGGAGATACATAAACAAGCCATCTGCCTAGGGGGTGGGGCAGTGACTCTCCAACAAACTTGGGCAAGGCCATCGGCTCCAGGAGCCTCACCTAGAAGATGAACACAGAGCCCCTCTCCTCATGAAGTGTGGTGAGGACTGAGTAAAATGGAAGGGAAGGGCCTACCTCCGTAAGTAACTGGCACAGCATGTAATCGACAGCCATAGTGCTTATTATTTTTAAACATACTTGCTCAAGTACCTTTTTTTTTTTTCATATTGGTTCATCAGACAGTGGCTTTATTTTTCTACAGAGAGGTATAAATATATCAAAGTATTTCATCACATTTAAAAGCATGGATCTGATTTGGAATTTGTAAATTTTACCAAACACAGTCTATCCGAAGAGTTCTCCTTTATGTGAGACAATGTTGTCAGTGGAAGAGCCCAGTTGTTTGGGGACTTGGGATGTACTGGGGGGAAGGCTGTTAATTGTCGCGTGGTATAGTTGGGATACACAATTGTGAATACTTGTGAGTTATGAACACTGCAGGTAGGGAGTGAGAAGGGGGACATTATTTTCCTATTTGGAGAGCCAAGTGGCAGGGGAGGTTGTTCCAGCAGATCTGTAGGCTTAGAAAAACCTCTCTCTCTTCACACAGTATTGGAAAGAGCAGGCCACCCTCCCCGCAGAGTCCTACTCGGTCTTGGGAGTACATTCCATAGCATTTTGCTTTTCCTCAACAGTCACATACAACGCAGTAGAACCGGCCCATGGAAAGCAGCCTCCCACAGTTTCCATAGAGAGGCCAGCTTGGGCTTTCCTCCTGCTGCTTTCAGCTCATTAGCAACTCTGGCTGGTGCAGTGAGAGTGGACTTGCTGACCTGCCCGTATTCCTGGAAGGCTCACTCCTGAGCCATGCAGACAGGCTGCTCTACCAGGTTTTTTTTTTTTTTTTTTCTTTTGCCAGCACCAAAGCCAAAGGAAAGGCACCTAGAAAGCCCTTTGTGTGTGACTGTGGCTGACCACCCTGGAATGTGTGGCCTACACTGCTCTCTCTCGGCAGAAGGCAAGTGACCAACCTGGTTTGATCAAGACATGCTTTATAAGCAGAATCAGTAGAGAAGACATGGATTTTAAGAAACGTGCTGTGTGTAGCCTTCCTTAGTTAAATCAACTTAAAGGAAACATGTGTATCTGACAGTGAGGCCCTCTCCATCCTGACTTTAACAGGCTCAGCTGGGATAGGTCCCAGGCGCTCTGCTGAAGGTGGTGATGCCAGAAGTAAGGTTTTCCGGTACAGAGACATTACCCACCAGAGATGACATCAGTATGTTCCACTAGAGAATGGATTCCCAAATAAGTGTGCTGCTGTTCCAAGCCCGGAGATTTCTCACCTTGGATCACCAAAGATGCTTTCTGCATGAGCGTTCCTGCTTCGTTCTGAGCCAGGCAGCTGAACTCCCCTTGAGGCCCTCCACTGAGATTTGCAACCCGGAGGATCTGCCCAGCTCCCCAGATGTGGTGGGTGAGCCCTGGGGCAGCGGCAATTGGCCGGCCATTTTGGAACCAGGTGATATTGGGGGTGGGGTGACCTTTGATGGGGCAGCCTAGAAGAAGAGAGAAGACAGTCATTGGTACAGCCAAAGCCCACATTCCTGGTGAGCTCTTGCATGTTTCCATGGCTCTAGGAATTGTGCACATGTCATGGTCTTACTGATAGTATTTTGATTATGCTTGCTTTTCCCAAGGAAAGGGGGTGTTTTTACTCTCTGGACTTCTGGGAGGGCAACTATTCTTCATTCAGTTCAATAAAAATCCTTGAAGAACACAAAGTGGCTATTTCTCTTCCTGTCTCTACACTAACTTCTAAAACAATGGCACAGTTGCCATTAATTCACTGAAAGTTTTTTTTTTTTTCCTGGTAGCTCTTCCACTGATTCATTTATAAAGAAAATTTTTCTTCAAATGTTGGGAAAAAAATACAATATTCTTAAGTAAGACTTAAGAATCAAACTTCTAATTTAAATCTAATCCCTGCTGTCATGTTACTTTATATTAATTTTGAAGTAATATATCTTCAGCAGACACTAGGAAATAATTTTATCCATTGGCCTCATTTGTCCATAAATGAAGAGCCTTGATCTTTTGACAACTCTTAACCAAGCATGGACTGGATATGTGCAACCCTATTCTTATCTATGGAATGTGGATTAGGTGGGTAGAGCCCTATTCTATGTAGCTATAACATATTTTGATACATTAGAATTCTAAGATATTAAACTGAACACATATTATGAAATTGGTAAAACAGATTGTCATTGTGAGGAAAAACACATTTCCTCTGAATCTGGGGCACTTGCTGTGTTTGCTGCTGTAGCCTGATGACTTAGCCTCACTAGGAAAGCTGTTTTGAAGCTCACAGTGCATACTAAATCATTAAAATGTAGAGAAACTGAGGTTTTCCTTCAGTTCAGTTCAACAAGTATCTACTTGGCACCTACAGCTCTGGGGATTACGAAGGTACTTGGGACAACCTCCTCTCTTCCAAGGAGCTCCCAGCTTGTATGGAATTAAAAAAACAAAATAACAGGGTGACAGTTTGGAAGTAGGAAGAGGACTAGTGTGAGAGGAGGGATAGAGAGGATAGAATGTGGGGGCAAATAAGAGCCAAGTGCAATGAAACACACACACACACACACACAGAGAGAGAGAGAGAGAGAGAGAGAGAGAGAGAGAGAGAGAGAGAGAGAGAGAGAGAGAGAGAGAGAGAAAGTCATTATTTTGCAAACTGAGAAGACTTGACTAATTGTGCATAGAAGTGGCACCATCAGAATTTGTGTATTTCACCATCTATAAATCTTTGGGTAGAGGCACAAATGCAGGAATGACATTTAATGCAGCTGGATGATGAGGCAGGGAAGGTCATGTGCTGTTTTAGTTACTCAGTATAAATCCAAAATTATTCATAATTCATGTTTGCATTATTTCATTGATCTTCAGGAATAACTCAGTGTCTAAATAATCACTTTTCCTATAGTCAGTTTAGTCAACTCTTTTTTCCATAAGATTTTCAACAAGTTAGAAATAATGGCTGGACCAGCCCATCATTTGCCAGTGTCTTCTAAAGGGTTTTATAATACATTTATTTTTATTTTATGCGTATGAGTTTTGTTTGGTATTTGCAGAGGTCAGAAGAGGGTGGTGGATCCCTGGAACTGGAGTTATGGATGGATGTGAGCCACCATGTGGGTGCTGGGAACTGAACCCAGGTCCTCTGCAAGAGTAGCCAGTGCTCTTAATGAGCCACCTCCCCAGCCCCTTTCCTAAATGTTTTATAGTTTGCCTAAAAGTTCTTAAAGGTTCCCCTGCCCTCACTCAGCTCCACTGGAGTCAGAGATCATTTTCACTCTTGATTCTGAAGATTTTGACCTGGCTGTCCTCTAGGAAGATGCTGCTGGGCACTCTCCCTCCTGTTGTTTTCAGAGCAAATCAAGTCCTGAATTACAGATGAAATGCTGTCAGGTGAGAGGCATCCTCAGCCTCCCTGGCAGAAGAACTGTAGCTCCCAGTTCCGTTCAGGGAATGGAAAGGCTTGTCCCACCCCCTCCCTCCATCCTGCTAATGAGGGTGTGTGCAGACAGCCAGTCATTCTGTTGGGAAGAAAAGGGCAACACCACTCTGTGGCCAGAGCCATAGAAGTTTGAAGCAAGTTTACCCCCGAGCCTAGCAGGCCAAGCTGGGCTATTTTCCTGTATACTAGGACTTGAAACAAGAATATCTCTCTGGGTTAAGTTCTGCTAGGCAAGAGGGCAGGGAAGGGGGCTGCTAAGTAGGGTTTAGGGTCTGCTCCACATGGACGCAGTCCCTGGGCCCAGTGGTTGGTTGGTTGGTTGGCTAGATGAATGTGGGTGGCTGGGTGGTGTCGAAAAGGACCTGGGCATCAGCTTGGACTCTAAGGAGTCCCAGATAGGCACAGAGGTGTGGGTGTTTGAGGTCTTTGTTATAGGTTGTTGAATGCACACCCTAACTAAGGCACCTCTAAAGTCCCTTCACCCTCCTAAGACTGTGTGCATTTGCAGTACAAATGATGGGATTTCTTCCATATCAGGATAGTGACCATAGAGAGTGCACTTTAAATGTATGAGATTATTCATCTTGCATTGAAAAATTCTCTAAGGGAAGACTCACTTTGTTCTACTTTTCAAAGAGAGAGACCAAAAACATGAATTCTAATGAAAGTAAATAAAAATTGTTTGCCACCTGCCCTTTCCATTGCTGTTTTGCCTCAGTGCTTTTGACTGCACACACAGGTATCTCCTTAAAACGACCTTTGGACCCAGTAGTAGTATTCTTAGTGCACATGCAATGCAGGTTCCTGAACTTTAACGTGTGTGTGTGTGTGTGTGTGTGTGTGTGCGCGTGCGTGCGCACCATGATCTCTGAGGATTGCCAGCAGAAATAGTCAAAATAAAGGGCTAACATGAATTCCCACTGTGTATGTTCCCAGAGAATAATTATCCATGTTTCATTGCTAATGAGAAAACCTGGCTTGTAACAGGGTTCCCTTCTGTCACGGATATTTCTCATTTGTTAAAGTAAAAGACATATCAATCATTTCTTTTTGAAGCTGAGCGCACTCTCTGTGTGCCATTTACAAGGACATCCAAAACTGTGCAATGTCTTCCACGCCTCCAAAGAGGCCAAGTAATGACTCCCACATCCCAATTTCTGCATCAGTGAGAAATGTAGTAGTGTTTAATGCACGGAGAATGAAGAGGGGTGAACACCTCTCTTTCCTGCATTCTTCTCAGCTTCGTAAATGGCAGCCTTTCCTATTCTTCAAGCCTCAGTGCCTTCCTGAGGAAATGGACAATCAGAGGGATGGACAGTACTCACTCCTCAGACCTCAGCTGTTAAAGAACTTGGGCTGTGAAGTGGCCGAGGGGAAGCAGTGTTTGGGAAAGTTGCCTGGCCAATGAGAGTTCTGGCAGCAGAAAGCCTCCCTCGACCAACCTTTCTTAACCAGAGAAAGAAAACACTGCCTTTAGGCTTTCCATCCTTAGGCCTGCTGTGGTTCTCTGCTGAGCCAAAGCCAGGTGTGATCACATGGATGCAGGTTTGCTCTTTCATTTTTTTTTTTCCATCACATTTATCTCCTCTTTCTCCTCCCACATACTGACTGTGCAGTGAACATATTCAGAGTGAAGATGTATCAAATAAGGAAAATTATATGAACAATTCTTATTTCTGATTGTTAGCTTAAATATAGGCAAAACCACGTCTCCTCCTAATGCCTATAACATCCCTGTACACTGACAAAAAACAGAGAAGAGACCAAGAGTATTTGGGTCTAAGAAGCATGAGTGAAATGTCCAGGAATTCCACATCATTTGCTCCACACGTGGCAGAGTCAGTGGGCCCCAGTAAGCCCAGAAATTCAGTCCAGCTGACACTCCTGTTCCTATTAAATGCTCCTCACTGACTTTCATTAGCTCCATGTTCTGATTTTATGCTGGTTTTTAGAGCTGTAGTAGCCTGTCTCAGGGAAACAGCCCAAGTTTGACAGGTGAGAGAAACACTGGGGTAGAAAAGTGGGTGGTCTGGTGGCCTGGTGGCCTGGTGGCCCTGGCTTCCAGCTTCCTTGAATGCTGTATACACTGGAGATGCTACGGACCTTAAAGGTAATGTGATAAGGCTGCCTTTGAGCCCCCATTTCCAAAGAGGCTCTGAACTCATAGTGATCAGTATTCAGGAGACTTTTGTTGTTGCTGTTGATTTAAAGGGCTGAAAACCACCAGGAGCTCTGGCAAGCAGCTTGGGTTATGGGCTTCTTTGCAGAGATCAAGCCAACTCTAGATCCAGTAGCTGTCTGTCATTTGAGTGAGCCACGTATCCTAAGTTGATTTTCAGGAGTCCTGAGCCTTAATGAGTAGAAGTAAGGTTTCAGAGCACATATCCCTGCCTGCCCCCACTTCTCCAGATTAAAAAAAAAAACTTAGAAAAACAAAAACCAAACAAACAAGCAAACAAAAAACTAGCTTAGGTTGATAAAACAATCACAGAGCTAAGACTGTATCTGGGCTCCAGGGGTCCATGAGGAAGAAAGCTTTGGAAATGCGAATGTAGTCCCAGGAGGAGGAGAAAGCAGCACTCTGGGAATTTTCACTTATTTCCCTGCTATCTACAGGAAAGGAAGGCTGTGGCAGGTTGGGACATGCTGTGTAAAAATATTAAAGACGTGGCATTATTACTTCATGAGCTGGCTCCAGGCCTGTCAGCATTTTCATTATAATCCCGTGTTTTTCACGGAGTTAAAACGTTACTATAAAAATGATGTGTGTTGGGATGAAACTTGGCACTTGGTGTAGTCAGTCTGGAAGTCCTTTCCTTAATTTAATTTTACAAAACTGGAAAACACTCGCTCGGTACTTTAGAATTTATAGAGGCCCCTCTGGTCTGCCAGTGGTCTGAGAGGGTGTGGGGGCCCAGGCTAGGGCCATGGGGTGACCAACCAAAGCAGGCATGCTACTTCACTGCCTCTTCTGGTCCCTGCTTTTTTCAGCTTGGGTCCCCCTGGGCACTGAGCATGGTCTCTAAAATAGCAGAG